ACACACACACACACACACACACACATGCAAACACACACACACAAACACACACACACACACACACACACACACACACCAATACCCCACAAATACAACCACAAACAGCTAGAACGGACAGACAGACATATAAAAAAACAAAAGAAAATGATTGAGAAAACAGAAAGATGAACTGAGAAGAGAAGAAAGTCAGCAGGACGGTGGCGAAAGAATCACATCGCCAACTCACCGACGACAGTGGGCTCCAGATCGACGAAGACGGCCCTGGGCACGTGCTTGCCGGCGCCAGTCTCGCTGAAGAAGGTGTTGAAGGAGTCATCACCACCTCCGATGGTCTTGTCAGAGGGCATCTGGCCATCAGGCTGTTGGAAAATACGGCGGTTTTGAGACGTAATTTACAGCAAGTCGGTGAGATACGACGATGAGATACGACGTTTTTGAGATGTAATTTATAGCCAGTCGGTGAGATACGAAGATGAGATACGACGTTTTTTTAAAAAGATGTAATTTACAGCCAGTCGGTGAAATAACGATTACATTTTACCAACTACAAGTTAGGGCTTAAACAATATTGGTGGGGTTTTCTTTCGCTGCAGATGTTTATACAACATTCATGACAAGAACATGGGGTTTTCTGTTAATAGAGTTGAAACATATGATTTGAGCAAGATGGACGGTGGGCGAAATGTAGGGTTAATCTCTGATGACTCCACAAAAAGGCTCTGATGACACTGTAAAACAGACAGATGATACTACATTTTTAGTTTCAGTAAGAGTTTTACGGTACTTGCAACACTAAAAGGTCATATAAGTGCCAAAGATTAGAGGTGTTACAAGAGAGTAACAAACATTAAAAAATGGAGGAGAGATCAGGACGATAGAGATGATACTATGAATAGACTGCTGGCACTACCATAAATCTTTGCTGACATTGCAAAAACGGTCTGGTGACATTACAAGAAATCTCTGATGCCACTACAAGAAAGACCCCTGACTTACCTGGATACCGTGCTCCAGGCAGTACAGCTCCCAGCAGGCATTGCCGATCTGGACACCGGCCTGGCCAACGTGGATAGAGATACACTCACGCTGGGGAACACAAGAACACATCAATGAGAATCATCATAATAATGCTGTGGTAGACCTTCTGTCTTTTTATATGATAGAGTGCATTTTGGTACGCTATTTTGTGGTAAGGTGCCGTCTGTTTTGTCTGTTTGCCGACTAGGCTGGGGTCATCGCAGGCTGTACATGCTAGCTAATATTATACGGGGTGCCCACTACGGATGGGATCGCCGATTGGGCCGATCGCTCGACTCGGAAGCCTAAAAAACAAACGTGTTTGTTTTCAGTTTCAGGCGACCGAGTCGGGCGATCGGCCGGGCCCAGCCGTTGTGGGCACCCGTATTTGGTGTGGTATGGTATGGTATGGTTTTGTCTGGTTTTCTTTTTTTTTGCGTGGTATTGATTTTTTACCCTTTCCAAAACTACAACATCGTGTCTAGGGCTGTGTCTAAGCTTGTCAAAGCTTCTATAACAGGTAGAACTTACGAGCTAACGTCGGTATACGAAAGGACTTTAATATAGTCACGAGGATAAAGATCTATGAACTTTCTTAAAACAACCCACGCTCAAGACGCTCTCTTAGGGATTCGAACCTGGGTCCCCTGTGTCGTGACCCAACGTGTGGCATGATCTGAGCTAATGGTGCCTAAACACGTAGTTGTAGTAGTAGTAGTAGTAATAGTAGTAGTAGTAGTAGTAGTAGTAGTAGTAGTAGTAGTAGTAGTAGTAGTA